CCGATGCGGGGCTCGATCCCAGGACCCTGTGATCATGACCTGAGCCGAAGGCAGACGCTTAACAACTGAGCCACCCAGGCGCCCCTGGTGATGGGTATTAAAGAGGGCATGTACTGCATGGAGCACTTGGTGTTATACGCAAACGATGAATCAGGGAACACTACATCAAAAACTAATTATGTAATGTATGGTGATTAACATAACAATAAAAAATGCTTTGACAGAGAGAAAAAAAAAAGATCAACACTGCCTATACACGGATTGAAGAAGAGTTAATACTCCAAATAGAGATTTGAAAAACTTAATGTCTTTATGATGCTAATTGACATGTCAGGCAAAAGTAATCCCTTTATATGAAGACACCTGTAGTGTAACAACATGGGGATGATAAAAGCCCTGATCAAATTATTTGAGATAATGACAGCACTTGTAGAAAAACTATTAAATAAAACACCACTCTTCATAATTCCCACTCTCTTGGTTTTATTTATTTTTTTAATCCATTTTCAATCTCTCTGATTTTATTATTTTTACAAATGATACACTAGTTTATATATTTATAACTAAGATAATTTTAATATAAAAACTGGTAAATTATAAAGAATTATATGAATAATCAGAGGGAAGAATTTATTTTTACTTAAAAAGAGCATAAGACGTTTACTTGCAAATAAAAGAATGAGACAGGAGGAATTGAAACCTTTTCTTCCTCTTCATTTTGTTCCCTTCAAATAGTATTGGTCATTGTTTCTTAGAGAGAAACAATGTAGAGAGTAACAATTCTATTACTGTAGTCCATGCCCCTATTGATGAGAAGCCCATTCCAACCCCTACACTTTGTAGGAGCAGAAAGATGGGGGGTTTGATGGGAGTGTGGGAGGTGGGTGTGTGTGTCTCTCTGTATAAAATCAGTTACAAATCAAAGAGATCTCTGAATCAATGAAATGAATAAATATAGCCCTGTTGGGCCATTAAGGGGAGTTGTGGAACAAATAGATTATTTTCCCCATAAATTTTCAGATCAGGTTGGAACTGTATTTTCTGTAAAATTTTATGTTTTTAGAGATTGAAAACTGAGTGTCTTTTCGCATTGTCATGAAATAATTATACTTACTGATTTTCACCATTTAATTTTTGTTTTTGGTATCTCTGGCACCTCACACTGTGCCTGGCACAGAGTAGACATTTAGTATTTTAAAAACTGAGCTAGATCACCCATATCAATATGGTTGCTGAGATGTATGGATTCTTTCAAATCTGGCCCCTCCTCTCTATCCTTGAAGCTTTTGCTCCTGTTAAAGACTTCATCATCTCTCCTTTCCTCAAAAAATCACCCCTGATCTCCTTGCCTCTCTCTAGACACTGCTTTCTCCTTTTTTTCCATCTCAGAAAAGCTTTTAAAATGAGCAATCTACATCCACTTTATCTGCTTCTTTTTAAAAAACTTCATTCTTTCACATTTATTTTTATTTATCTATTTATTTATTTATTTATTAAAGATTTATTTATTTATTTGAGAGTGTGAGAATGAGAGAGAAAGAGTACATGAGAAGGGGGAGGGTTAGAGGGAGAAGCAGGCTCCTCGCTGAGCAGGGAGCCCGATGCGGGACTTGATCCAGGGACTCCAGGATCATGACCTGAGCTGAAGGCAGTCGCTTAACCAACTGAGCCACCCAGGCGCCCCTCTTTCACATTTATTTTTAATTACATGAGATATATATATTCTCCCCTCCTCAGAGGTAACTATTATTTTCAGTTTGTTGATTATTCATGCAGACCTTTTCTATACACTTATATACATTAATAAGAAGAGAGGGAAATTTTACTGGGAAGGGGCAGATGTACACAAATTGTATCATGATCTATGGATTATTCTTGCAACTTCATTTTGTTGCTTAACAACATGTCCATGTGATCTACCTCATTCTTTTAAACTGCCAACTACGATTCCATGGTACATTTGTACCATAGCTCATTTTTTTGCTTTCTAGATAGAAATTTAGACTGTTTAAAAAATTTTTTTATTCCATAACCAATGCTGCAGTGAACATCCTTTCTGTATTTTTTTCATGAACATGTACAATTGTTTCTCTAGGCTATATATCTAAAAGTGGAACTGATGGATCATAAGGTATTCACATTTAAAATTTTAATGGGTAGTCCAAATTTGCCTTGTAAAAATATTTATCAATGTACACTCCCACCAACATGAATGAACTCACCTGGTGTTAGTAAATATTATACCATCTTTTATTTTTTTCAATCGGATGAATAAAAAATATTTCCTTGTTTCATTTTACATTTCCCTAGTCACTTGGTAAAGTTGCTCGATGTTTGGAAGGAAGGTACTAGTTTATTTTTGTTCTCTTAATTTCCTCCCCCTTCAACAAAATTTCCTGCCAAAGTCAAAATTTTACTAATTGTTTCTCTCACTCATTGTTTCAGCCAGCCAAGCCAGGGACTTACTGTCAAAGATGCTAGTGATTGACCCAGCAAAAAGGATATCTGTGGATGACGCCTTACAGCATCCTTACATCAATGTGTGGTACGACCCTGCCGAAGTGGAGGCGGTAAGGCATAGGCTTATTTACTTTCCTTCCACAGACAAATCAGAGTAACTGGGTGCTCAGTGGTGAAAACTGCAAGAGAATTAGAAAGGACTTCATACGATTCCTAAGTCACAAAGTTATTACCTTCCCCTCTAAGAGTTATTTTCTTCCACCTATATTTTATATGCTTTTCTTTTTCAGGGGTTTCCATGAGAGATGATGATTTAGTCCAAAAAGCTTTAGCTGTCCATGAAACACATCCATGTGTTTTTGTTAAATTGTTAACATCTCCAGTGTCTCCTTTTTTTATGTTTAATTCCCAGCCTCTCCTGATGCAAACTAAGTAGCAGAAATCATAATAGAGAATAAGTTGCTTTGCGTCTCTTTCCTTGATAAGATGCCTGTCATTAGTCAAGTGTGGGCACTACAAACATTTCACAGATAGAGCTTTTACCAGGCCATTGGTGACTTCGGGAAACCTTACATGGATTAGATGAGAAAAATTAGGTAGTCCAATGCAGAGTATTTCAGATTTATTCCAAATTCACTGCCATAGTAAGATGAGCCTCCATATTGTAAATCTAGGCAGAGTTTAGGAATCTTCCCAGAAGCATCACTTTTTTTTCTTCTCTTTCCAACCATTCAATATCTTCTGTCCAATCTCTTTCTTATGTCTTTGCCTTTCTCCTTTTCTGTGTGGAGCCAAGGCAAAGGGTTATTGTTGTTGCCCATGTGTGTTCTATAGGCCTCCTGATGGGAATGTCCTTTTGTCCCTCTTTTAAATGTTACCATCAGCAATGTTATCTTCACCCCAAAGCATCAAAATCTCCTCAAATTCTTAGAATGACTCTGCTAAATGATTTTTTTAACATAAATAACTTCAAATTACTTTGGTTGAATTGGTTTTTAACATTCTATTTGAAATACTCTCTTCACTTGTTTTCTCATATCTTTCTCTGTACCCCAAAGTATTCTTGCTTGAGCATAGTTTTGCTTTGTTTCATTGTGTGCCTGCCCATGTCAAGATGCAAAATTCAAACTGACATAATTCTTATCCTTTCATCCTTCATTGGAGAAGTAAGAGCTGACAGATGGGAGAGAGGATTAGGGAGAACTTTATAAATATAATATTCAAAAAACTACTTTCCATAGTAGCCCAATCCTTACCCATTCAAAAATTTTGGAGAAAACACTTCAGTGATAATTGAGTCTCTCAAGTGTGGAAATTGGGGTGTAATAGTCCTTGGTGACATTTTATTAAGATCTGCTCTCTTAGGCAGTGTTATAATGATGTTGAAATTTCACTTTGCTTATAATTTTTAGTCACTTGATTCAATTCTTACAAGACAAAACTCTAATATTTTTAAGGGTAAAAGATAGAATCATCTTTAGTCTCTCACTCTTGGGAAATAATTTCAAAGATGTTCTTGGGGTGGAATGAGGTAGTGAAATGTAAGAGAAAGTATGATGTATATGTATGTGAAAGGTAAGTATAAACATTATTTTGGATGATTTTCAAGAAAGTAGGTTATGTTGATAAAAATTTTAGACAAACAAATTATTTGAAACTGTTGCTTCTCATTTATTTTGATCATTCAAATCATGTGGTGTATTTATTTTTTCTTACATCTAATGTAATCTGTGTAATTTGTTTTTAATGGATGGTGGCCCAGAGTTTAATTGGAGTCATAAAGTCTGCATTTGTAATTCACTTGTGATTATGTTACCTATAAAAGAGGCAGTTGTTTAGAATCTATAACAACATATTAATGAATAGCATCAGCGAGTTTTTAAATATAACATTTTATGAAAAATTTCTTTGAAGGATAAGAAGATAAGATTTAGGGTGCTAAAATGGCTAGGATCTTTTTCTCCCTCATTTCAATATTGTCATCCTGGGGAATGGATAGTAACAACATAAGATGTGAATTGTAGGGGAAGGATTTGATAGAGCCCGAAGGTTTAGGAAAAGGGATCAGTTAATGCACAGAAGAACAAGCAGGTATTTAACATTTAGACTGGGATCATTGGTTATACAAGGGTAAACATGTTTTACATCTAGACACGTTGCAGTGAGTAGGTCGGAATCCTGACCCCAGGGCAAGGATAATTCATTACTCTATAAAATGTATAATACAAGTCACAACTAGGAAGAGACAGATCCTAAAGATGCTAGAAGCAGTGGTCAACTATGCCTTCTGCAATACCCTTAGAAATAGTGCCTTTGTATTGCATGTAATGCATGTGAACATACATTTAAAGTAAAATGACCTTTCTTTATGAATGCATGGCAAAGCTATAATTTCAAAGATCTATTTTCTGCCAAGACTGCCAAGACTATTTTGCAAATAAACTCTGGCGTGTTCTATAATCTAAACAAATGGAAGTATCAAATAATCAGAATTTCCATGATTAGAGTCATCCAGGATATCCAGTCTCAAGCAGCCTTCAAGTAACTCACAAGATGTTATAGAGGGAAGGAAATTCAAAGATGAGAGGAAAGAAAAATATGTTTCATTGAAAGAAAATAGAGGCAAGTGGAAAAGGGTAAAGGAGAAACTGCAAGAGAATGTGATGTCTTCAGGAAAAGTCGGAAGGAGAGGAGAGAAATGCTATGTGTACTAATCTATTCATCATACTACAAGCTGTCTTATCACCTGTTTCCAAAAGTGACAAAGTACTAAAATGAAAAGGGAAGAGCTTATGAATGCTGTCATAACTCTAAGAGGGAAAATTATTCATGCAACCATGAAGTTGAGAAATTTAAAAATTGAATGTCAAGGTTAATGATGATCTGTGTAATAGCGCATAAAGAGTTTTAAAGTTACAAATGCTCAAATTATTAGCTACTTCTTATTCAAATAATGTTCAGAGTAACAAAAGAATGGGCCCCAAACAGAGTGCAGAGGCCACATTTAGTGTCAATGCTTTTTCATGAAATAGTTGGAAGGCATTCTAACTCTGGTTCTGTATTCACCAAGAGGGCAAAAACTTTATATACAAATGCAATTTATTCAGTTGAGTGCATCTTCACAGGTATGAAAAATGGCATAGGTTTAAGTTTCTGCTCTCCCACTTACTAGGTGGCCTTGGTCAAGGTTTTTAACCTTTCTGCAACTCAGTTTTCTTAACTAAGAATAGGGAACATGCATACTTACTGCATAGTGTACCTCTGAGAATATAAAGAGTTAATGTACATGAAGTGCTCAGTACAGTACTTCAGCCAGTAAGGATCATATAAATTCTTCTTCTCCGTCATTGTC